ACCTCCCTTTTTATTATTTCAAAAAAATGAAAGCATTTGGAGATTATTCAAGTAGTAATTACTTAATACCAACATTATGCATCCGTTGGAAAAGCTTTTGTTGGCTTCCTTTTTAGAGAGTTTTTTTTTTTTTTTTGAAAATTGCCAATACCAGTGTCAATTTACCATCGAAACGAATGAACGAATCTTAGAGGGATTATCTCACGGACGGAATTGTTTAGCAGGAATTAACGAAATGGATTAATTGAGCCCAGTTTGTGTTGGTACATTTATGAAATAGAAGAATAGAAGGATTTCACTTGAATGTCATGTGTGTATGAGAAGACATTTTACGACGCAGTCTGTATATTAAATTTTTTTTTCTCAGGTTCGAAATGGTCACATAAAACGAATTAGTGATGAAGAGATACAGTCACTTGTAATCGAAATTTTGGGAGCAAATGTCAGGTAAGAGAGCAGCACATTTTTTGTTTCCCTTAAATTTACTTTCAAAATTTTTAAACAAGAAGTTTTTAAACAAAAATTTTAAGCAGTACCCTCAAAATTATCATTTTTTTCCCAAAAAAATTTTTCCTCTCAAAACTCATTTTTTTCTCAAAATTCCAAGTTTTTAAACAAAAAATTTTTAAACAAAATTTTTAAACAGTAATCCCAATATTATCATTTTTTTGTTCTCAAAAAAATTTTTTTCTCAAAATTCATTTTTTTTCAAAACTTTTCTAGCGAAATTGATTTGCAGCTTGAGTAAATTGGTGGATCCATGCGATAATTCACTTAGATGAAACGGCTGCTAGTTCTGTACTGATTAAAACTCTAAAGGTTTTCTAATGGTGTAACAAATAAACTTTTTTTCCCCATCGATTTCGATCTTAAACTCTTCAAATCTATAATAAGTCGTGTTTCAGTACTACATATATATCATGTCCAATAGATCCAAAGAATACGTTGGGCATAAAATTGCCCTATCTGGTAATGGTGGTGAAAAATATGAAGAAATATTTCACATTCGAAGTACAGGTATCAAAATTTTGTCGCTTAATCCTTTTTTGGCTAATGTTATCCTGGAGTAATTCGATTATTAGATATTTAAAAAACTGATATTTAAGCTTGAGATATTTGGAATAGTTGTTAATTCATAGGTTGGATCTCCATCTATATAAAAAACGGCTTCGATTGCCTGTGTGAAGATGCGTTTTTTTGCATAGTTCCCCTAGTTTTATCACTACTGGCACCAGTTTTTCCGGCGAATGCTTCTGGATAAAAGAATTGAGACTGACCACCAGGGCTGTCTGGAAAAATCCCCTCAAAATTTCAGTCTTCTAGTTTTTCCGGTTCCCGAGTTAGCAACTTGCTCGAAAAAAACTTTGGTGAGCCCGTACCTGGGCACCACGCGAGTAAGAGCGCCCATTTTGGAGATAGGGACTCGTATGTACATGTAGATTAAGTTCTTGAAGTTTCAGCCTTGTAGCTTTTGTAGGTCTCGAGATGAAAAATCGGTACAAGCGCACAGCGCACGTACAGACGCACACACACACACACACACACACACACACACACACACACACA